ATGTAAGAAAAAAGAAAGGCAATTAGAAACTCCAAGAAACAGAAAGCTAAAGAAAAAAAGACATACACCTACAGAATACTAAGAAATGTAGGTGAATTCATAGTGCCATATCCTCTCTACAAGGTGGAAGTCACAAGATTATGTTGTATTGGACAAAATGTATATCTAAATACATATTTTTTTAAAGGTACTTATAGCTACAATGATAACTAATAAAGAAACTAAAATAATGATATTTCCAAACATGGGCTGAGGGTGGAGGAGAGGTGTGGAGTCTAAGAAGCTCGACCCTCCTCTGTTGCACCAGGTGTTAACAGGTGAGTTAGGTGGACTGGTGTGGGGTGGGAGGCAGCCATTTTCTTTCAATTTAACTCTTTCCTTGCCTTCTTATTTTTCAGTCATGTGCACATATTAATATATATATTTTTCAAAATAAAATAAATGAGAAATAATCTGGGATGTTTGTGGGAAGAGTCTCTGTTCCAGCTACACTGGTTCCAGGTCTAGTCAAACACGATGGATTCAGGCAGAAAATCCTGACCCTACCCACGTTTTCCCCCTCTCAAACAAGACCCAAGTAGTTGCAGTGTCTGGTGCAGAAACTCAGTCTGTCCAAAGTAGACCCACATGTAGGGCTGGGATCACCAAGGATGGCAATGGACACAGACACAGTGACATCTTCAGGATGTACCATGAAGTCCAGCCCATGACCATGGGCCAGCTGCCCAGTGTGAAAGGAAGCGTCCAGTGCAAGGAACATCAGCCATGATTCAGGGCGCAGCCTGAGAGGGATACAGCATGTCGCTGCTGGCAGCCAGAGGCAGAGGCCAGAATCATGGCTGGGCCCCTCCTCATACATCTTGTCATCCTGCGGAGACCTGGGAGACATAGTGAACACTGACCCTTGGCGGGCAGAGGCTCCCTCAGGCCAGAGCAGCAGAGCCTGGGAGAAGACTTCAGCCCCATTCAAGAATGTGGGTTCCCGTCTCAACTCAGCCACTGGAGGAAGTGAGGCCCAGCACATCACTGATCACACTGCTTTTACCATTCTCCCTGTGACTGCAAGGACTACCTAGCCCCTAGACACATTTAATAAAGACTATTACTGGAAACCTGAAATACATTACCAGTTTCTTTACAGTGACCTTCAGTGAAGTATTGTTCTTCAGTATTGAAAACAGAAAATGATTAGCAAGAGCCTAACAGCTGAGTGAATAAATAACACTTGATTTTTAAAGTAATATTAGGCAATTGATAATAATTTAAATAATTACTATTCCAAGAATGCTCACTGTGTCTCAATGATGCTCCCAGGCTTTGGTAACCATCCCCCGCCCTTAATCTTCACAATAACCCCCATGGTGGGTCCTATCACCATCCCCGTTTCACAGGTGAGAGGTCACAGGAACCTGCCTAGGGTCACACACCTGGGCAGAGCCGGGCTTGGATATGAGCCAGGCACAGGAGGTGTCAGGAGAGAGGCTGATGTCGTAACAGTACACGGAAAAGGAAGAGCAGAAGTGTTCATGGTGTGATGGTCAGACGTGGGCCAGCCCCGTGGACCCAGCCCTGTGGCTGACCAGCATGCATTTTTCTTATCCTTACATCAGGTTTGTGCCTCATCATAGGAGGAGGGAGAATGTTCAAACAGCATGGGTACACAGCAGGAACTCGAGAGATGGTGGCCATTGCTAACTCAGTTAAGTGCAAAACAAACAAAATACTAGAAACAGACAAACCACAATGATAGCTTTCTTTAGGTGATTGGTCTTTAGGTGGTAGGTCTACATGTTTTTCCTTCTAAATCTATTCCCCCCATTCTCCAAAATAGACATGAATTCAGCTATTGAGTTGGGCTGTTCCCCTTCCCTCACCCCAGCCCTCAATATGGGCTCCTTGCTGGTGGCTTCCCTGACCCTGGGATCTGACCTGGTCCTAAGGTTAGGGCCCTGGGATCTCCACGTCCACTCTACACCCTGGTCTCCACCCAAGGAGGGATGGGAACTGAACAGGTGAGATAGTCCCATGGCCTACGTGGATGACAGTCCCTCATCCTGGGGCTGCTGAGCATGAACTATCCAGACAGCATAGGATTCATGGGGACATTTTTCTTGGGTGAGTTCTCTTGTTCAGGAGGGGCAAACGATGCCAAGTCCTTAAAAAACAGATGGACCTAGAGTTGGCAAATTTATCAAAAGTAATGAAGAAAGTAGATGCAAGCTTTTCAGCTTTTGAAGAAAAACTTTCAAGTTGTAAAAGCAGCCTGTAAAGCAACCAAGAGTAATTTAAAAATCTTTGTGAGGAAGTGGCTGCTGTAAGAATGCATAAAGAAGAAAATCAAAGGTTGTTTAAAAATCCACTTGAGGTCACAGGATTTAAAGAACGTATCAGAAAGCCAGATGTCTCTGGACACATCACAAAATAACATGGAGAATTATTTTTTGTTTATTTTTTAATTTTTTTTTTTTTGGTTTTTGAGACAGAGTCTCAATCTGTCCCCCTGGCTAGAGTGCAGTGGAGTCCTGGTGAATTATTTAATATGAACAAGTTTTCAAGGGAAATTGGACCTGATGATAACCATGGTATGTATACAGAAGCCCTTGGATGAGCTCTGTCAGGTTAAGGAAGTGTTTGATATTAGAGATTATGGAGGGATTACAATAGAAGGCAAACAATGGTGTTAGTGAGACATAACTCTGTGAACTGAGCCTGACTCTATAACCCTAAACGCTAACCTTAACCTAATTCCTAACCTTTAAGCCATCATCCCTAACCCCTAATCTCTAATACTAACCACACCACTGACCCAAAACTAACTCTAACCCTAGCCCAACCCTCTTACCCTAAAACCTCACCTTCACCTTTTAACCCTCCTTCTCATTCTCTAAGACTCATCCTAAACCCTCACTCTCACCATCACTAACTCTCTCCATCACCCTCGCCCTAACCCAAACCCAATCTGATCCTCAAGTCAATCTTGGGCCCTTAGGCTGGATGGACCAAGAAATCGGTGGTTATAACTGGGCCCAGGAGGGAGCCCCTCGAGGGATGTAGAGCCACGAAGACACCACTAAAGGAAAAAGGGAAGATCTGCCCTGGTGTCTCCTTTACTCAGGCCCTGTAAACTCCTAGAAATAGATCCGAGGGCAAAGGGTCAAGTTGCCAATGGGGATTGGGGTTGGGAGAAGAAAGGAGGGGACAATCAGATCCAAAGGAAGACTGTCCTCGTTCAATCATCCACAGTCCAGAAAGGACAAACCTGTAGTCCAACAGTTTATCAGCTCATTCTGACAGGGGAGAATGTACACTAGATCTATGAGGCATCTCATCAGAGAGATAGGGTTATTATAGGATTTAGTAAAAGGGTGTTTAGGTGAAATCTAAATGCAAGTGTTCTGATGGGCACATAGCAAAACAGGGCTGTGTATCGGGGTCAAGATCAGGTCCAAACTGTGAAGTGAACCAGGCTTCTATTTCCTTGGAAACCAGAAAAGTAAGATAGTGTGGAATGTAGTGTTCCAAATCCTCTTTTTGAAGCTCTACATCTAAGTTGTAAATGAAGGCATCTTCTTGAGATCAGGATGTTTCCTTCCTATAGATTTCTAACAGCAAAATGTCTAAAATTTTAATAAACAAGGATTCTCAGTAAGACACTCAAATAAAGGAGTCATTTTGATACTTTACATCTGCATGGTGACCATGGGAGAAAAAACTGTTTCCTGCTAACACCCCAGCTTTATCTGAACCTGTTCCCTTGATCTGATGAATGACAAGACAGAGTTACTTTCCCAGAAGCCAGTCATGCTAAGATCTGGAGGAAGAGCAATCTGGGCAACAGGGACAGCAAATTTGAAGATCTTGAGGCAGAATTAAGTCTGGTTACTTCAGGACCAGAGGGGGACCACATCAGAGGGGTCCTCTGGTGCACAGACATGTGCAGGCCTACGTAGGACCTTGTACATCAGCCTTCGTGTTATATCCTAGGAACAATGAAGTCACTGGATCAGGAGAATGTGATCCGACATACATGAAGGGTCACCTGGGCTGCAGTGAACAGACAGGAGGTAAAAGAGGGAGTAAGGGAGACTAATATTAGGAGGTTAACAGAAGGCAGGTAAGAGAGGCCAAAATCAGAATGAGCAGCAGTGAAGATCACGAAAATGTAAAACATTTGAGGTTTATTTTGAGGACAGAGCTGACATACCAGCTAAAGGATTGAACATCCATGTTGGAGAAAGGGGGCAATTGAGGAAGATACAGGTTTGTGACCTAACCAACTAGGTGGGCAGTAGTTCCAGTTGTTGAAAAGCAGAAAATGAAGGGAGATTCGGGGCCTCATCAGGTGTTTTGAACATGCCGAGTTTGAAATATCTATGAAACATCCATATGAGATGGCAGTTGGGCTCCAGGTATCTATCTAGTCTGGAATGCAAGTTTGGGAGACAAAAGTACTAAGGAGGATTAGATCACTTGAAGATACCAACTCAATGGAGCAAAGGGCCTGAGACTAATGCCTGGAGCCACCAACATTTAGACAGTTGGTCTGTTGAGGCACAATCTCAGTCTCTAGCCAGGACAGTTAGAGCAAGAGCTCCCTGTTCTCAAGAACAGAGGCTGGCCTGGTGGGAGCCACAATGGTTCCCTGAGAATGACACCTGCTCAGGAACAAAGGCAATGGACAAAGGACCAAGCACTGGGGTGAGATCCTGAACTCAGCAGTGTGACACCCCTCTCTCATCTGTACTCCCTGTAACACAGACAGCACACTCTTTCATTCATTATCCATTTTTATCAAAAACAGAGATTGGGGCAATGTGACATAATACGATCAACCACTAAACCATTTGATAAGGCATCCTTCAAAAGTGAGCACAGTGTACAATTACATAGTTTCCCCACTAATCCTTGCTACCAACCTAAAGACTGAGTACAATATCCTCTCTATAACACACTAAATTGAACATGCACTTCAATTTAGTGTAGAAGATTTTCTAAATGTACCTCTGTCTCTCTTCTGGCAGGAGGAGGATTTCATCAGAAAACCTACAAATGGGGTCCTGTGCCTATTGGACGGTCCCATACCTGACCAACAGCCCCAGATCCTTGGACCAGCCAGGGACAGACCAACCTCACATATGTCAACAGAGAATTCCTGGAAATGTTCTGCACTCAAGACAGACCCCACATTACCCCTGGGGAGGGGGACTGTGCCAGGATTGGAGAGAGGCTAAAAGAAATTGAACCTAAACTCTTCATCAGGAGTGTCCACAGTGGCCTTGGCTCTCCCTACAGGGCGAGGCCTGCAGACCCTTCGGCTCTTCTTTCTGGTGGTCTCATCTACAGGCTGTACCTGAGCTGAATGGGCAGCTGTCAGGGAGAGGGAAGCAGACAGTGTCACAATTGAGTAATAACCGCTAACATTACCTGTACAATTATGATTGCCCATACAACCGTAACCCCTTTGTACTAAAATAGCTAATTTAGCAAAATTGTAAGGTAGATATTATTATCACCCCTCCCACCCCATTTAGAGTCACACCGAGATTCAGTAGCTTGCCTAAGGTGTTAATGCTATTAAGTAGTAGACCCAGGATTTGAACCCGGGTCGTCTGGCTCCAGGAATTGCACTCAAACTGCTATGGGATCTGGCTTTATGGCCAGCAGAGAAAGCCAAGGCACAGACAGGTGAGTCGGCTTTCCCCAACCCAGGAGCAAGACCAGCACAGGACTAGACTCTTTCCCCTCCCAGGTCCAGGCCCTAGTTCTATGTTCCTGAGAAGTTCAGGCCTTTTCTCCCTGTTCCCTCAAACTTCCCTGAACCTGTCTCTTTCCTCCACAAACTTTTTTACTTTAGAACTTCTTCCTTTCATTCCCTAAGTCCTGCCTCCCTACCCCCTTGAACTGGGCCTTCTTGAATTAACCAGTTCCCAGATACTCACCAGCCCTGAGAGCCCGCAGGGCCTCCTGCCACTCAGCCTCCATCTGAGCCCTGTAGTCCCCAAACAAGGAGCGCATCAGTTGCCTCTTCCGGGGCAGCGGGGCCCTTTTGCTGCGCAGAGTTCGGATGGCCCCGATAGCCTGCTCTTCTGGAGATACAAAGAAAGGACTAGTGATCGCCTCTCCACTCACTCCCTATCATCCTATCCTAAAGGCAACAACTCGATCCCCTGCCAGCACCTGCAAACCATGGCACTGTGACTCTCCACAACCCCCATCTCTACAGAAGGGCCCCTTACTCTGTTTTGGGGTGGGTTTCTGCATCTTGAGGCCCAGCTCTAGCTGCTCCACGCACCAGGCCAGCTCCTGGGCCAGCTGTTTCGCCTGTGATAGATTGGAACAAGTGGCTGTAAGAGGGCACCTGGGTCCCACAGTCCGGGGCCCCATCCCACATGGATCCAAACCCCAATCCCATTTCCTTCCCCGCCTTAACTCCGCAGATAACAGATGACACCTGCCCGTGGACTCGCGCCCAGAATGCACCCGCGGATTCCACTCTTCCCAACTAAAGCCCGCCCTTGCCTGGGCCTCAGCGCTCAAGGGGGCTTCCTCTGGGGCGAGGTTTTCGGAGGAGTTCTCGCCTCCATTCGCCACAGAGGCCCTGTTTCGGGTTTTCTTCTTATTCTTTCGCTTCTTCAAGGATGTGTCATCGCCTACGGGGTGCGCCCTGCAGGCGGCGACATTGCACGTGGGTTGCCCTGAGCAGAGACAGACAGTGGGAGGATTCCGGGAGCCAGGAACCGGGCCAGGGACCCGGGGTCTGCGGGGCGCGCGGGCGGTACCCGGGCCTGGGGCCGCCGGTGCCTCTGGAGCAGGATGTCCTAGAGCCTGGAGAAAGCGGGGCAGCACGAGGGTCACGGGGGGGCGGTCGACAGCCCAAGGCCCGGCCACCCGCGCGTCTCCTCCACACTCAGCTCACCGCCATGGGCCGCAGTCGCCGCCGTCGCCGCCGTCACCTACGTAGGACCTCGGGTCCGACGCCGAAATTCCTCCTCCAGAAACGCGTCTGGGACGCGGGGTTCCGCAGGGCGCGGCGCGGCGCGGGGCGGGGCCTGAGGGGCTCCAGGAGGAGGCTGGAGCGTTTCAGAGGGACCATATTGTACAAATGTTTGCGGAGCAGTATCTTCCGGGCTCCGTTCTGGAGGAAAGGACAAAGCTCTAAACAAGGGTGTGTCCTCTTAAAGCTCACCTTCTAGTGGGGAGGGAAAAACAAGTAAATAGAACATACAAAGCTGCCGTACAGAGCGGCTATGTGGGCGGGGTCAGGAGGGTAGTCGGCAAAGACCCCTCTGAGCAAAGGAAGAGACCTATGGCCGGTGACCCGATGCAGCCACGTAGCATTCGAGAGTCAGGTAACAGAGGAGGCCGGTGTGTGGCTGGAGTGAGCATGGGTGAGGGAGGGACCAGGTCACAGGTTTGCTTAAATCAGAAGAGTAATATGATCTTACTCGGATGTTTGTTTTACAGATTACTGTGCTTTTGTGTGATGAATGGATTAAGGTGGAGAGACATGGAGGAGTTTCAGAAACAGATGGGGAGTGCCCACAGCACTTGCTGGTGGACTGAATGTGGGAGGCTGGGGCTGAGAGAGAGCCCCATCCCATGATATATCTAAAACATCTGCAAAAAATCTACAGTCAACATACTTAATGGTGAGAAGCTGGATGAGTTTCTGCTAAGATCAAGAACAAGGCAAAGATACCCACTCTCACCACTACAGTCCAACATTGTATTGGACGTCCTAGCTAATGAAGTAAGACCAGGACAAATTGGGGAGGAAGAAATAAAACTCTCTTTGTTCACAGATGACATGACTGTGTAGAAAACGCCAAAGAATCCACAACAGCAACAAAACTACTGGAACTAATAAGGGGTTATAGCAGGGTTGCAAGATACAAGGTTAATATACAAAAGTCAAATGATGTGTTATATACCAGAAATGAACAATTGGAATTTGAAATACAAAACACAATACCATTTACATTAGCACCAGAAAAAGAAAAACTTAGGTATAAATGTAACAAAGTATATAAAGGATCTACACGAAGAAAACTACAAAATTCTGATGAAAAAAACCAACGAAGATCTTAAAATTTGGGGAGATGTTCCATATACTTGGATAAGAAGACTCAGTATCGTGGAGATGTCAGTTCTTGCCAACTTGATCTGTAGATTCAACACAATCCCAAGCAAAATCTCAGCAAGTTATTTTGTAGGTATCAACCAACCAATGCTCAAGTTTATATGGAAAGGCAAAAGACCTGGAATAGCCAACACAATATTGAAGAAGAAGAACAAAGTTGGAAGATTGACACTACTAAACTTCAGAACTTACTATAAAGCTACACTAATCAAAACAGATGAGATTGGCAAAAGAATAGACAAATAAACCAATGGAGCAGAATAGAGAGCCCAAAAAATACACCCCCACAATTAGAGTCAACTGATCTTTAACAAGGGAGCAAAAGCACCTCAGTGGAGAAAGGATATTTTTTTTTTTTTGAGACAGAGTCTCACTCTGTTGCCCTGGCTAGAGTGAGTGCTGTGGCATTAGCCTAGCTCACAGCAACCTCAAACTCCTGGGCTCAAGAGATCCTACCTACTGCCTCAGCCTCCCGAGTAGCTGGGACTACAGGCATGCACCACCATGCCCAGCTAATTTTTTCTACATATTTTTAGTTGTCCAGATAATTTCTTTCTATTTTTTTTTAGTAGAAGGATATTCTTTTTAACAAATTGTTGGAGCAACTGGACATCCACATGCAAAACAAAAGCAAAAGCAAAACCAAAAACTACACAGAGCTTGTACGTTTTACAAAAATTAACTCAAACCAGATCATAGACCTAAATGTAAAACTATAACATTCACAGAAGATAGCATAGAACATCTAGGTGACCTTGGGTTTGGGGATGACTTCTTAGATATAACACCAAAAGCATGATCCATGAAAAAAAAGATTGATAAGCTGGATTCACTAAAATTAAAAACTTCTCCTCTGCAAAAGACACCGTTAAGAGAATGAAAAGACAAGCTACGGAAAATATTTTAAAAACATTTATCTGATAAAGAACTAATATCCAAAATATACAAAGAATTCTTAAAAGTCAACAGTAAGAAAACAATCCAATCACAAAATGGGCAAAAGATATGAACCTCACAAAACCCACCTCACAGAAAAGATAGATAGATGGCAAATAAGCATATGAAAAGATGCTCCACATCATATGTCATCAGGAAGATACAAATTAAAACAATAATGAGATACCCCTACAACCTATTGGAATGACTAAAACCCAAAATACTGACAACACCAAATGCTGGCAAGGATGTGAAGCAGTAGGAACTCTCATTCATTGCTGGTGGGAATGCAAAGTAGTACAGCCACTTTGAAAAGCAGTTTGGCCGTTGCTTACAAAACTAAACATACGCTTACTATATGATCCAGAAACAGCACTCTTGCTATTTACCCAAAAAGAGCTGAAAACGTGTACAAAAAAAATATCTGTGCACAAATGTTTATAGCAACTTTATTCATAATTGCTGAAATTTGAAAGCAACTAAGATGTCCTTCAATAGGTGCATGGATAAACTATGGTACATCCTTACAAGGAAATACTATTCAGCAATAAAAAGAAATGAGCTATCAAACCAAGAAAAGACATGGAGTTACCTTAAATGCATATTGCTAGGTGAAAGAAGCTAATCTGAAAAGGCTATATACTGTATGATTCCAACTACATATACGACATTCCAGAAAATGCAAAACTATGGTGACAGTAAAAAAAAAAAAACAAAAAACCAAAAAATATCCAGTGCTTTCCAGGAGTCTGAGGGGAAGGAGGAATAGATGGAGCACAGGGTATTTTTAGGACAGTGAAACTATTCTGTATACTACAATGGAGGATACATGTCTTTGTACATTTGTCAAAACCCATGCAACGTACAACACCAAGAGTGAACACTAATGTAAACTGTGGACCTTGGGTGATAATGATGTGTCAATGTTGGCTCTTTGCAACACATGTACCCTTGTGGTATAGGATGTTGATGGAAGAGGCTTTGGGGAGGGTACAAGGGAATTCTGTACTTCCCACTCAGTTCTGTAAACCTAAAACTACTCTAAAAAATAAGGTATATAAAAATTTTCTAAAATAAACAAAAATTGACAAAACAACTGCGATCACCCAGGGAGTGAGTGCTGCTTAAAAAAAAAAAAGAAGAAGTGACCTAAGTGAGCCTTGGAGGTCAGGGAGATAAGTAATGAGCAAAGGAGCCTGAAAACAAGTGACCAGAGGTAGGAAGAAAGCCAAGAGACAGGTAAGGTCCCAGATGCCAAAAGTGAAGTGCTGCAAGGAGAGACTAATCAATAGTGCTGAACATTGTGAACAGGTCAAAGAAGATGGAGCCTGAGAAGTGACCTATGGATCAAATCTCTCTCCTTCCAAGTATTCCCTCTAACATCATTTAGAATATTTAATCCTCTCTCAATTCGATTACAAAACAAAAAAAATCCCTTCCTTTTTTAAAAAAACTATCATAATCCTCGGTTCATGGCATACTCTTTCGAGCCCATACCCATCTCAAGCTGCAGTCCTACTTTTGCTCCCTTTTTGTGGCCAAACATCTAATAACAGTTGCTGTGCTCACTAAGCCTTCCCTACACACATCCCTCAGCCCTGTGTAGTCTGACTTCAGTCCAAGACTGACTGACATGCCTCTCAGCAAAGTCTCCGGCAGCCTTAGCCTTGGCTTTCCCCTCAGTGCCCTGAGCATGCACTGACTGTAGGCCACACCTCCTCGGAGCGGCTCTTCCCAGGCTTTGCACATCCCTTCGTTTGGCATGGAATACTCTGCCTCTCTTTCCTCATCCTCTGCTCCCAGTTTATAAGTCCTTTCTGCCTTTGCCACCTTCTTTGTCCTGCTTAGATACCCTTTCTATGAGTCCCCCCTCATGCTTGCAGTGGCTGTTTATCCCAGACACTAAATACCCCTTTACTAGGCTGTAGGCTCCTGAGGACAGGCCTGTGCTTTGTTCAGCATTGTGCTCCATGCCCACTGAGGTGCCTGACCATACCCTCTGTCATGCTCACTCCTTATAGACACACAATAAATGCATTGATCAAATAAATCTTCCAAGAGATTAATGCCCTAGGGAAGAAGTAAAAACATTTTTTTATGACTGCTCCTGGAAATGGGAGAGACAAACAGAGCCCTGAGGCAGCCTTGCCTGGCAGCAGTGAAAGTTCTGAGATAAAAGTGGTGTATTCATAGCACCAGGCCCCATGGCTGCATTTTTCTCCCTTAGCAGCTTTGGGAAAAATCTGAGACAGAAAACAGGGAGGTAGGCCTAGAGTTGGGGTTTTACTCCTAAGAGTAAGGAACCTGACGTTTGAAAAGAAAATGTTTAAAAGTGCTGGTTCTTCTGATAGAAGAAGCTGGATGGAGAAGGGAGTGAAAGCAGGAAGGTCCTGACAAATGACAAGTCTGGGGGGGCCATGGCAAAAGAACAGGTAGTATGGGCATGGCAGTGATGGAAGGTACTCAACTATGGGCAAGGGGGCAACTTTAATATGTGCAACTTTTCAGTTTCAAAGTGGAGACTGAAGGAAATTAGAAATATTTTACCCCAAATATATTTCTTTGACATATGTTGAGATGACTACCATGGGTCTCACAGCCAAGAAAAGAGTCCTCCCCAGATACCACCCTCCTGGCACCTTGACCCAGGGAACCTGCAGCCTCTAGGCCACATGTGGCCCTCCAGATCCCCAAGTGCTGGCCTTTAAAGGATTTGTTCTGTCAAATTTGGATTCAGTCAAAAGGCTGCCCTCAGTGATCCAGAAGACCACATGTGATCCCAAGGCCACAGGCTCTCCACCCCCAACTGTGAGAAAATAAATTTCTGCTGTTTAACCCACCCAGTC